TATCATGGTATTCCTACGTATCTGTATTCGCCGACAAGATATACTACACTGACTTCTATGATAACAGTGTAGTTTGTTGTGATCGTAAGGGATCACGTGTTTGGGGTTTTGAAGATGAATCAGTATTGAAGTCACCGAGAGGCAAGATTGTAGATAATGATGGTAACGTGTCCGTTGTTGGAGCGTTTCGTTGAATGTGGTCATTATATCAAATGATGGAAAACACCACAGACAAATTCTGACAGACAAAGATGGTCTACGTGAACCGTCTACCATTTACTTTGATGAACAGACCGGGAATCTACTTGTTGCAAACACAGAAAAAACTGCTTTCCTTTACAATGTTAATTGGAATGATTGAAATTAATATGTTTTACTTTTGCTTGTTTTTTCTATGGAATCTTTGATTCAGTAAAACAAACGTTTCGCAAATGTTTAAATTTTGTTAAATATAAATATATGAAAGTCACTAGTTTTCAAATTAGTTCTATTAATGTTAAATTTCAAAATGCATTGGCATGCATATAAGTCTGTATTACAAATGAAGTGAAAGAAAATAAAGAAAAAACATTTAAACAGCCAACACTTTTTCAATAAATGATCTAAAAAATGTGTACAAGTACACAGAAAATGCTAGACTTATATCAATCCTTAGTAACGAGACAGTGGTTATTTTTTTTTATTATCTGATTTCTCTTAAATTACACCATATTATTAAAATATACTATTTGAGGTTAATTATTTGAGACAAACCATTTTACAAATAACAAATATGATAGACAGGAACCACCGACAACCACTGAATTGCAGTTTCCTGATTTTGAAACAGGCACATACAGCATAATGCGGGGGTAAAATATGTTTGAAAAAGCCAACCCTCGAGTACCTTATAAAAAAAACTATAAAAATCAGTTAACTAATTTGACTGATACAAAACAGAAGAAAAACACAGACGTTGCTATATACTTTTACTTTCCTAAAAAACATAGACACGAATTACAGATCTGAGAGTACTCGCACTCGCGGTTACTAACAGATAGTTCATAGAAAAAAGCTACTAACAAATAAATCATATATATAAGACTAAAAAAACGATCAGAACACATCCAACATCTAATAGATTCAGTGTAATGATGACATTAGCAGTCAGAGAAAAACATGACCTGGTTCTATATCAAAATACTGGTATCGACAGACGGTATAACCGTTAATGTGCGTATATGTTTACCATAATTATTAAGTATGGTTTTAATTTACTGAAAAAAAAAACACATCTTACCTCCTATTCATTTCTATGAATGTGATTGGTTAAAAGCAACAGCGTGAATACCGTGTATATTCCATATTAGGTTAGTAGGGTTCCATATAAGGTTAGTAAGCGGGGCTTATCCAAATACACCGTTAGTAGTGGTGCTACGTTCCTTTATAAAACAACAAGGTTTTGAGGTAATATATTAAAGGTTTCATTGCAATAGACGAAGACATTAATGAACGAATCACTCTGAATGAAAAACATGCTTATGCCACTGTCCCAGGTTAGGGGGAGGGTTGGGATCCCGTTAACATGTTTAACCCCGCCTCATTCTGTATGTATGTGCCTGTCCCAAGTCAGGAGTCTGTAATTCAGTGGTTGTCGTTTATTTATGTGTTACACATTTGTTTTTCGTTCATTTTTTATACATAAATTAGGCCGTTAGTTTTCTCGTTTGAATTGTTTTACATTGTCATTTCGGGGCCTTTTATAGCTGACTACGCGGTATGGGCTTTGCTCATTGTTGAAGGCCGTACGGTGACCTATAGTTGTTAATTTCTGTGTCATTTTGTCTCATTGGCAATCATACCACATCTTCTATTTTTATATTATGTAAATGTCATGGCTTGGCTTGAGCCATTTCATAGTGTGATAAAAATTAGAATGACTACTAATAAAAAAAATAGATGTAACCAACTATAGGTAACTGTGTGGCTATCAACAATGGGCAAAATCCATACCGCATAGCACGCTTCAAAAAGGTCCGACATGATAAAATGTAAACATTTTTAACGAGGAAAACCAACGGCCTGATGTATGTACAATAAACGAAAAACAAATATGATATACAACAACAAGCCACTCAATTGTAGATATGTATGCATGTTTAGTTCATCATCAATCCCACTTTAAGTTTCGATTCTATTTCTCTCCCTTACTTGATGGTAGCTTTTGATACTGTTTCTTGACAATAACAAATAAAAAGTCAAACTGGGTAAGTCCTTTATACTTTAGGGGGAATAAATGTATCAATTGAAACAATGATTTGCCTTGTCCAAGTGATAATAAGATAAATATAAAGATACAAGGAAAAGATAAAGATTTCTATTCGTATTAACAAGAAGTAATTGGGTTTTGATCAAAAACATATAAAAATAACAAAAAACCGAACTCAAACAAAAATTCAAAACGGAAAGTACTAAATTCATATTGTATGTAACAAAGGAAAATTAAAGGTTTAAGTAACAAATGCAAATAAATCACACATCTAATTAGACAGAACAAGAACGTATGAAATATGTCTTTGGACAGAATTATTTTCGCTCCACATCATGCTTTTATTAATTGTCTTTCTTGTCTTCTTTCTTTCCTCGGTATTATTCTTTTTTTTTTCTCAGAACGATGTATGAGTGAGATAGTTACTCCTTTTTTATTTTTGGTTGTTTTCATTATTGTTAACGATCTTATTGTCTATTATGATACATGGAAATTTTTGTTGATTATCTCTGTATCTTATTTACTTATCATACATTCGGTATAAGGACATCATTCGTAAATATAACTCAACATGTAGACATCTTATACGTTCAGGTATTTCACATCCAATATGTGATGGTAATATTCTTTACAAAGCACAAAATTGTCAGTATTCACCTCAAAAGCTAACAAAACCTTTAAAACAGACTTATTAAGAAGGGATATAGTTACGATACTGTTGTCAGTTCATTAAAGATTGCATATGATTCACTTATAGGGTCTATGCATCGGAATTAAACACATTTATTTTAAAACCAGTTGTTGGCATGACACGGGTTATGTTCTTCCCATATAGTTCATGATGGTTTGATACTAAACCCCCTCACGGGAGGGATTGTGTCTGATATTCATATGATGTAGACGTAGTCTTTCAATCAGTTTAATTGAGGTCTGGAGCTGGCATGACAGTCTGTTGTTATTTATGTATTATTGTCATTTTGTTTATTTTCTTTTGTTACTTCTTCTGACATTGGACTCGGACTTCTCTTAAAACTGAGTTTTACTGTGCGTATTGTTGTGCGTATGTTTTTTCTACATTGGAGGTAAAGGGGGAGGGTTGAGATCTCAAAAATCATGTTTAACCCCGCCGCATTATTGCGCCTGTCCCAAGTCAGGAGCCTCTGGCCTTTGTTAGTCTTGTATGATTTTTTATTTAAGTTTATTTTGTATAATTCGGAGTTTAGTATGACGTCCATTATCACTGAACTAGTATACATATTTGTTTAGGGGCCAGCTGAAGGACGCCTCCTGGTGCGGGAGTTTCTCGCTGCATTGAAGACCCATTGGTGGCCTTCGGCTGTTGTCTGCTCTATGGTCGGGTTGTTGTTTCTTTGACACAATCCCCATTTACATTCTCAATTTTAATTCTTTTGAATTGCCTTCCTGTGACACTGATATGTGATTAGAAATCAGCAAAAATAATTATAACGGCAATCTACCTTGTCACACAATCTCCAAATAGACGGTTTTTATGCAAATTAAAACCAATCAGTTGAGAAAAGAATTACATTGTATGGACAACAACTGGACATATGAATAATAATGTCATAGTAACGGATTCCTTTAAAGAAAGTTGTAATGATAAGCCCTTTTCGTATCGTTTATAACGTGTCCTTATATATATATATATATATATATATATATATATATATATATATTTTTAACGAAGTAACATTTTCGGATCTTTTCGTTAAATAAAGTAAGCCGCCGATATTAATAGAAATTTTTGTGCAGTTTTAGAAAATCAAATTATTACACAACTTTATACAAATAACCGTCAAATACTAAAAAATTCTTGAAAATGTTTATCGGCCCATTCCAGTCTTCCGATGTCTAAGTTATGTTGGTCACTTCCTGGTTTTAATGTAAATTGATGGTTCGAATTCCGCTTACCATAGAAAGAAATTAATATATAAAGACACTTAGTAGGTTTTTTACTAGCAAATGTAGTATGAGGATGTGGATGAGGTTCCTGAACCGTCCTTTAATTCTGTAGGTTTTTTTAAAATTTTTATAGCATTTTATTCTCTATTATTTATAATTTTTGCTCAATTTTCTATTACCCAATTCTTTTCTATTTTTAATTGTTTGGACTAATTTACTCTGTTTTGTAAATAGTTTACCCTTTATTCTGCAAATAATGTCTATAACTCTCTAATCGCTATCCAAACACTTAATTTGTTCAAACTTTTAATGAGTATTAAGACCTGAATTGGAAGACAAGGTCGTACAACAATCGGTAGTGGTAAAAAACGCAACACAGATGTCACATAAGGGCCAAAACGAAAAGCACAATTAGCATTGAAAATTTCAACCGTTAATGTAATTACACAAACCTAGCAAATATTATAAAAGTGTTGCATTGTATTATGATACTTCATGAATTAAATTAGTTAAATGATAAACGTGAATGGGACAGCAAACAAACATTACAATGATAAGATAACATGCAGAGGTAATTGGTCAAATGTAATATTTTGCGGGAAATCATTTCGCTTTTGAACTTTACAAGACTGATAATCTCAGTACTGAACACAACCAATTCAAGAACAAAATATGATTTAATTCAATAAGTAATTCATTGTCATTTTTTAAGAATGCCTCAAGAGAAGAATGTTACTCACATGTGTACTTCAAGTGATATATAAGGATTTTACGTGTTCCGTTTTTTAAGGTACTTAGTATAATCATGTGACATACACTTAGAAGATATCATGTGACGTTTTTCTTCCTTGTTATGAAGGTGGATATTTGGTTCATGTAAGATTATTATTTTCAATTAATACTGTATATACATTTTTGATATACTTCATTCGAAAGTTTAATAAAAAATTTCATTATGTTCTAGAGATATGACTCTATTGATTTAACCTTATTTTAAAATGTGTGTCTTGTTAAGCATGAAGGAACAATTCGTGCTTGGTCATGTATTGTAATGAAAAATAACACAAAATGTTACCTAAAAATAGATGTTTTGATAATAGTTTTAAAGCAATTGAATTCTTTTGAGCAGATAGATATGGTATCATTAGATTCTTGTTTACAATACAACAGATTTGATTTAAAATTATCGATCATGTCGATATAACATGTAACTGTGAAACATGGGCAAGGTCAAAAATGCAATTTATATGTTATACTGAACTACGCAAGTACATCACTTTTTTTACGATTATACTGCAATCAATTTAAAGAATAAAGTCGATATATTTAGTTATAAAGGCAAAGTTAATTATTGATAAACTATACTTAACTAAGCCAGTATTGCACAATTTATAAATGTATGATTGTAATGTAATGGCGAATATAAAATTGAATCGGACTTCCACTTGCAACTTTAAATTTTAAGCAGTTACTTCTTAACCATTATAAAATTAGTAATTTATTTCATCAAAAATAAAACAGTCAGATTTAAGAATAAAAAGAAAACTAAACAATATAAAGAATAGAGACAAATAGGTAATAAATTAAAAATAGAGAACGATTGGGTGCTGAATTAAAAAGGATGGAAAAAAATTATCAAAATAAATAAAGAAAATGAGAAAAAAGGTCTAAAGAGTTGAAAATAAAGAAATGAGGAACCCCCATTCCGACCTTCAACGACTGACAGATGGAAAGTATGGTAAACCCTTAATTATCTGCTTTCAGCTTTCAGCTTGAGTATAGTGCATACAGTTCAGATTCGTAAATCTTTTAAGCGTCTGTTTTCGTTATTTTGTGATGGAAATTAGCTGTCATCTGATTGTGAAGGCCAAACACGCTTTTCATCTTCAAAAGACTTACCAGTGACGTTAAAAAAAGTTTAATGGCGAAATAATAAAAACAATGCTGAAGAACATTGAGGACCAACACAATTCAACAGTTTTTGCTAGATTTAGGAAACTTGAACACAATAATGAATTATAAATCAGATTAAGGAAACTATTTCCCGGGTAGAACATTTTTTGCATTTCGTTTTATTCAAAGATTTGTTACCATTTAAATAATGACTGATATCAACATGAATATCTGACCTCTAGGCAAATGAAAAATTTATATCATTTTCTTATACATTCCCCACTGTTGTGATTGATCAACTCCTCTCGATTGACTGTGATTAAGAGCTTGTCTCTAACTTTTGGGGTTTTTTTTCTATTCGATTTGAAATCCTTCATGTATCTGTTTGCTTTATTAAGTGGTGATGGTTAAATGTCATGTGTTTGTTTATGGAACAATGTACCATTTGGAAGCAATTGATGTGTTGGAAGTGTTTTTTTTCGATTTTTTCTTTAGTGGCAGTATTCAACAAAACAAGTAGTCTGCTTCCTGAAGTGGCGAGTAGAGTTCGTCCCGTTTTACAAAACTTTGCTATATCTAATGTGTATTTTCTAGAGTTCAGCCCGTTTGAACCTGGATAGAAGGTTTGGTGCCTCTATGTCTATCTGGATCTCACATTATTCATTTTTGTTTGTTTATGTTTCTATTTGTTTCGGAGGAGTCGGATGTTGGTAGTTAATGTGGTCCAATATGTTGGAAGAGTCAGGTGTTGGTTGTTAGTGTTTTCGGAGGAGTCGGGTTTTGGTTTTAAGTGTTGGCAGATGAGTCGGTTGTTTGTTATTACTGTTGTCAGATGAGTCGGTTGTTTGTTATAAGTGTGTTCAGAAGAGTCGGGTGTGGGTTTTTAGTGTTGATGGAGGAGTGAGGTTTTGGTTGTTCGTATTGTTAGTGTTGTCGGAGATGTCGGGTGTTGATTGTTAGTGCTGTAGGGTGGTTGGTGGGTGTTTTTGTCGGATGAGTCGGATATATGTGGGTTGTTAGTGTTGTCGGAGGGTCGGGTGTAATGATTAGTGTTGTTCCAGGAGTTGGGTGTTGCAGGTTAGTATTCTCGGCGGTCGGGTGGTTAGTGTTGTTTGATAAATTGGATGAGTCAAATCATAGCTTAGTATATATGATGTTATGATAAAAATATATATTGTTACATATTTCAGGTGTCACCATGGCTACTAGTAGAACACTTTGTAGTCCATGTTCAGAACGACAAATAACGAAATCCTCAAAACACTGGTGCTCGGAATGTGAAGAAGCCATTTGTGATGACTGCCAAGAACATCATAAAGTACTCAAAGCCACACGAAAACACGAACTCATACCGATTGACAAGTACAAATCTCTTCCGTCTTTCATTACCGATATACAGCAGTCATGTACCTATCACAATGAAAAGTATCAACAATACTGTGTTGCGCATGCCTTACCTATTTGTTTCAAATGCATTAATGAACACCAAAAATGTAACGTCATTTCTCTTGATGAAGTCACACACAACGCCAAGACATCCGGGAACTTTCAAGATTTAGAAACTAGATTAATGGACTTATTACAGAACATTGATAGAATCAAGACGGGCCGAACGGCTAATTTGAGCAATATTGAAGAAAGGAAGGGGCGACAACTTGTAGAAATTCAACAAATAAGAAATCAAATTAACAAACATTTAGACAAACTTGAAAAAGAAATAAAACATGATCTTGAGAAAAAAGAATGTCAGTGTAAAAAGAATATTCAGAAGATTTTATCAGAAGTTAAAGAAAAGGAAAACTTAATAACAGAATATCAGACCAATCTCCAAAGCATCAAGCAACATGGTTCCAATCTTCAAACATTTCTAGTAATGAGCAATATTGAAGTGAAGGTTTTTGAATATGAACAATATTTACAATCGTTGGTTGAAACTAACAAATTGGACCCAGTCGACCTGACTTGTAAAGTAGAACCAGGGGTGCTTAGTCTCTTAGACAGTTTGAAAATTTTTGGATCAATTGAAATACAAACTACGTCGAGTAGCATTCGTTTAATCAGACCGAAAGACAAACAAGCGCAGTTGCAAGTAACACCAAGGAAGAACATAAACGATTTGAACTTGATTCTACAGAAGAAAATTGCATCCCAATGTGAGAATGTTAGAGGTTTTTGTATGTCAGTCAATGGCGATTATTTCTTCACCGACTATAAAAGAAAACGGCTGACCGTTATTGCGCCCGATGGTACATTCAAATATAACATTATGCTTAGTCCTAGTAATGGGTATGACATAACATTTATCGATGGGAAAACTATTGCTATCACATCTGGAGATACCTTCCAGCTCACGGGAATTGACATAATAGACACCGAGAGTCGAACGAAAATTAAATTCATCAGCCTTCCTGGTCGTCCATATGGAATCACACGTGATCAAGACTCGCTGTTAGTCAGCGTTGCAGGACGTGGTATATATAAATTAAACCCTGTGGATTATACTACGTCTCACGTGATCAGTTTTAACTTAACTAGAGGTTCCTACGTATCTGTATTCAACGACAAGATATACTACACTGATAAACGTGATCACAGTGTAGTTTGTTGTGATCGTAATGGATCACGTGTTTGGACTTTTAAAGATACTTCAGTCTTGAAAAACCCGAGAGCCATCACTGTAGATAATGACGGTAACGTATTTGTTGTCGGAGAACTGTCGTCAAATGTGGTTATTATATCAAATGATGGAAAACTCCACAGACAAATTTTGACCAAAGACGATGGTTTATGGGAACCGTGTGCACTTTTCTTAGATAAACAGGCCGGGAAACTTATCATTGCGAACGATAAAGAAACTGCTTTCGTTCACAATGTTACTTAAAATGATTGAAATTAATATGTTTTATATGTCTTAAAGTTAGGAAATACCCGTGAGGCATCACTGTAGATAATGCTGGTGCTGTGTTTGTTGTAGGAGAGACGTCGTCGAATGCAGTTACTATATCAAATGATGGAAAACAACACAGAAAAATTCTAACAGATAAAGATGGTCTAAATGAATAGTCAGCTATTTTCTTTGATAAATAAACCAGGAAACTATTTGTTATGTTAGCACAGAAAAAACTACGTTCCTTTACAGTGTTACTTAAAATAATTGAAATTAATATGATATTTATGACAATTGACCTGTTGTTTTCTAAGAGGCATGGAATATTTAAACTAGTAGAATATGTTTTTAACACTGTTTAAAACTCATTGATCGATGAAGTCAATCTTATTTCGAATATTTTATTCTTTATCATAATATATAATTTGTTATTCAAAGAAATTCAAGTAATGTTTAATATCAATTTTCATCGCATGAATCTAAGTCTGTATTTCAAACGAAGTCAAAAACAAATTAAAAAACATAAAAACTGTCTACATTTTTTGTAATAGATGATTTTAAATTATGTAAAAGTAGACCTAAAATGCTTTAAATATATTAATCATTGAATAAACGAGACAGTCTGTTATTTTTGTTATCTTATTTGTCTAAATTACACCACAATAAAGGTTTATTAATATATACTTAAAAATCTATTGAAAAATAGATTATGCTCTGATTTATTTATTGTTCCTGGATACTGCTAGAATTTTTGATCGTCCATAATATATCAACGCATGTATCGGATTAACTCTCTACAAAGAAAGTAAAAGCTTCAAATAAAACGTTCTAGCAGACTCGTATAACTTTCAAGAAGCTGTGATAAAGCCGCCGAAATTAATGGAAATTTTTATGCAGTTTTAACAAATTAAATCATTACACAATTTTATACGAATAACCATCAAATACCAAAAATGTCATGAAAATGTTTATAGGTCCATTCAAGCTTCCGCTGGGTTAGTTTTGTTATTCACTTTCTAGTTTATTGTTGATTCGTGGTTCAAACTCCGCTCACCATGAAAAGAAGTTAATATATAGAGAAACATACTCTATTCTTAAAATTGTTTACCCTTTATTCTGCACATAATGTCTATAACTCTCTAATCTCCATCCAGACCCTCTAATATGTTTAACCTTTAATAATTATATAGACCCGCATTGGTAGACAAGGTCGTACAACAATTATATAATAGTTATTTAAAAATTGGTCTTTATCGAGATATATGGACTGCCCACAGGACAGTGGTATAGGCGAGGTCATTATCGCTGTCGCAGTAAATACCACTATCCTACAGACAGTCCATGCATCACGATAATGACCAGTTCTTCAATAACTATTATGTTTATTTCATTGAGGAGCCATGTTTTTACCAAATCTCATAAATTGAAATTGTTCAAAGCAAACTCGAGCTATTGTACGATTTCTATAGGCAAAAGTGAAGACCAGTTATAGTGAATACAATAAGTCACTGCCATGCATTTAAGTGAAATTTTTAGTATATGAATACAAAATAATGTTTTCTATAATTTTATAAAATAACGAAATATAAAATTGACAAAACTCTTAACAGAGAAACCACGCGCCCATCCCCCCCCCCCGGTCATTAACATGTAACAGTTCGTTAACGACCGGTTTTCTGGTCTGTTTATTCCGTTAAAGAGCGATGGATTTTTTTACTAAACAATAAAGAAAGTCATGTGACCCCTTGTTATCCGATATGAAATAATCGGTAGTAGTATATAGCAAACAAGGTCGTACAACAATCTGTAGTGGTAAATAACGCAAACAAATTTCACATTTGGTCCAAAAGAGAAAAGCGCAATTCGTATTGAAAATTTCAACCGTTGATGTAATTCCACAAACGTAGCAAATATTATAAAATTATTGCATTATATGATAATGCTAAATATATAAAAGGAGATATTCAGTAAAAGTCAATGAAACAGGAAATCAAAAACAAAATAAAAATAAAAAACAATTTAGAGGTATTTGGGCGAATGTGATCATTTGGAGGAAACATTTGGATTTCGCTTTTGAACTTTACAAGATAAAAGTTTCGGTACTGAATAGAATCGATGCAACAAAAAATTGATCGAGAAACGTGAGTAATTTATTGTCAAATGTTTAAGGACTGTCTCGAGAGAAGTTTTTGTATTGTAACTCTCATATAGGGACCAACGGTAAAATACGAAGATTTGATGTGTTTCTGTTTTAAGGTACTTAGTATACAGCTTGTGACATATACTTAGAAGATATCATGTGATGTTTTTCTTCCTTGTTATGAAGGCTGAAACTTATTTTTAGATTTGGTTCAGTTAAGATTACCGATTCAATTAATATTGTATATACATTTTAGACATATTGCTTTTGTAATAAAATTTGTCGTACACTCTTTTATCCTAATATAGAGATATGACACACATTCGTTTCTAATAATTGGTTTGTATAAAATCACAATCTCGGTGGTCATGCATTGGCCATTGTAATAGAAATGACACAAAATGCAATTGATTTTTTTTATAATTGTTTTAAATTTACAAATTTTAATTGAGAAAATAGTTATAATATTATTAGATTTTTGTTCATGAAACAACTGTTACAATCTTAAATTCTCGATCATGTCGATATAATATGTTATACAGGCAAGGTCAGACATGCTTTTGATTATGTTATACTGAACTTATCAAGTATTGCACTATTTTTTCGATTATTTGTTTTCCAATGGTGACTGCACAATTAATTGTGTTCGCCTTACTCATGTAACTTTGAAATTTTGAATACTTATTGGTACGTTTGTACGTTTCCAAGTCTTTATTTTCTTTAAAAAATATACGACAGACGAGGGTCTGGAATAGGTTTACAAAATAGAGAATAATTGGTAAAATGGCAAAAATAAATACAAAACAGAGAATAAGATACAAACAAAGAGAGATATAGATAGATAATTTATTCTCATAAAACCATGCAAGTACAAAAGTTACAGAGAAGTTAAAAAATAATATACATAAAAATAAAAATGCATCAAAAATTTAAAAAAGAAACTAAATTTGTGCTTTCAATTGATAAAAAATTTCATCAAAGAATCCAGTCTTCTAATACAGATGGGTGCAGTCCTAACCTGTACAGCAAGTTAACTTGATAACCAGTCATTTGGACTGGTCAAAGTTAACCTGTGACAGGATTAAGGACTGCTCTGACCAGTCCTAGGACCACAATCTAGTTAACTTGAAAAGCGGACTTGGTCCTAGGACGGTTTTTATGTCTGCCGATAAAAGTTAACTTGGAAACAGGTCCGCTATTGATATAAGTTAACTTCGAAACCAGTTCTGCCATACGTTAACACAAGTTAACTTTGATTTTGACAACTCCGATCGAACCAGACCTGATCTCAAGTTAACTTTTGGCCTGGTCTGCTCAACACTAAGTTAACTTGTAACCGGGACCGCTCTACATGTCTTTGTTTCTTGGTATAAACATAGAAAATAAAGTCAAATTAATACTTCCGTGATATAAACATGATTAAATACATGTAGCTCCGTGTTGAAGACCGTATTTTGACCTATAATGGTTTACTTTTGTAAATAAAGTACGCATAAAATTTTGCTTGTTTATATACAAATTTATCCGTGATCTGCCTTTCTATATATTAAAAAAACGATAATGGTTACAATGCTAACGAGCTGAATATATATTCCAATACAAATTCTTTAAATTGTATTAACCATATTTGCACTTAATAATGTAAATCTATATAGCCGCATAGTAAATCAGAAATATTTTTATGTCGGGATAGAATGTATAATACAAATGACAGCAATATTGGAACATAATCTTCACAAGATTTTACCCGCATAAATTTAGAGTGCCAGCATGTCCTCCTTTTGTTCAATATATTGATACGTAACAAAATTTCAGTAGTTTTGATACCCCATGCTGACTCGTATAGCAAAATTATTTGACCGTATCAACCAAAACTTGCCATATTTGCACTTTATCATGTAAATCTATATAGCCGCATAATAATTCAGTAATATTTTATGTCAGGATGTATTGTATAATACAAATGACAGCAATATTGGAACATAATGTGTATACGAAATTTTGTCCTTATCAATCTAGATTGCCAGCATGTCCTCTTTTTAATCAAAATATTGTCTTGCAAAAAATTTTCAGTAGTTTTGACACCTCAGGTTGACTCGTATAACAAAATTATTTGACCGCATCAACCAAAACTGACCATATTTGTACTTTATTTTGTAAATCTATATAGCCGCATAGTAAATCAGCAACTATTTGTATGTCAGGATTTAATGTATAAAACAAATGACAGCAATATTGGAACACAACAACTACAAATTGTTGTCCGCATAAATTTAGAGTGCCATCATGTCCTCCTTTTGTTCAATATATTGATACGTAACAAAATTTCAGTAGTTTTTATACCCCAGACTGACTCGTATAGCAAAATTATTTGACCGTATCAACCAAAACTTACCATATTTGCACTTTATCATGTAAATCTATATAGCCGCATAATAATTCAGTAATATTTTATGTCAAGATGTATTGTATAATACAAATGACAGCATTGCGGCAAACGTTTGCGGAAACTTGCCGCAACCATTTTACCATGCAAATGAAGTTTGCGGCAAGCTTGCGGCAAACATGATTATGCAAATTAGACTTGCTGCAAACTTGCGGCAAACGTTTACTGCAAACTTGCGGCAAACGTTTGCTGCAAACTTGCGGCAACCATTTTACCATGCAAATGAAGTTTTTGCAAACATAAACATAGGCAAACATAATTATGCAAATTAGATTTTCTGCAAAGTTTGCAGTTAGCTTGCCATGTAACCATTAGATATTCTGCTAACAAGTGTCAAATATCTTTTTCCTTGAAATCTATAATTATAGCTGAAAAACAGAATATACCACAGTTTCTACATATTTGTTAAAATGAAGACAATGAAGAACTGCATCACTCTTTCACTTTAGAAATTGGGTTGGTAAATTTATTTGTAATCAACACAAGACAGAAAGAATTTGGAGAAACTGTAAATTTATTTATCATAAATTGTTTATTGGTCCTCTGGTCGTGCCTCTGGTGCCCTCTTTGTTCTGACTGCTCTTGTCATTGTTGCTATTTTAGCGTTCAGAGCAAAAATGACATCCTTACTGTCCATGGACAATTTGGAGAGTGCATATGCTGAAAAGAAGAAAAAACATGTATCAGTTTAATTGAGCTCTGGAGCTGGCATGCATATGTCAGAATCTGCTAAATGTCCTTTGTTAATTTAGGTATCATTGTCATTTTGCTTAGTTTATTTTATACCTATTCTGACATTGGACTCGATCAGACTTCTATAAAACTTTTATTGTGCATAATGATATCACACTAAACTTATTCAACCCTGCTGCATTTTTGCACCTGTCCCAAGTCAGGAGCCTCTGGCCTTTGTTTGTCTTGTATGATTTTTTTAATTTTAGTTATTTATATGTTTTACAGTCATGACAGTTAAGTATGAAATATTTTTTCACTGAAGTCTGAACTAGTACATATTTTTCTTTAGGGGCCAGCTGAATTCTGCCTCCAGGTGATGGATATTCTTGCAGTGTTTAAGACCCATTATGGGACCAGCTGTTTTTTTTACCTTTGGAAGGATTGTTATTTCTTTGATACATTCCCCATCTCCATTCTCAATAATATTATATTCATCTCTTTTAGACAAAAGACATGTCTTGTATAATTACACGCACTTGTTAACTAAATCTATGATCAATTCACTAGACAATAAAACAATTTGATTAAACTGCACCCATGCTGCTTTTTCCTTTATTTAGCTAATGACATAAGCCACTTCTCTCCCTTAATTATGTCAAACTCTGACATATAAGAACACTCCACTTGTTAATATTTAAAAGCAACCATAACGCCAAAAGAACTAGTACTAGCTCACTTTGAAAATTTAATGATATTATCATACAAGATACAAGTGGTTCCATGAAAAGGTAAAAGATAACATACAGACAATTATATATAGATCAATTCTACCTCTATTCCCTAGCTTCAGATTAATTTTGTTTCTCAAAAGTATGTTTTATTATTTATGACCTTTAAAACGCTTTTAAACAAGTATTCTGATAGTATGCATGTCACCATTGTCCCTTACTGGTTAAAATTTCATTAAATTGGAGCAGAATGCTATTCTTGATCTATAACCTGTCATGGTGTAAACTATAGAACAAATATCAAGTGAATATCGTCAAGCATGATGAAAAAGGTGTGGAAACTGACTATTAGAGTCCATGGACAATAACCTTGCACAAAATATCATGCTTTCTTTCATAATTTCTGCCTGGATCAAGACTTGTTTTTTTTAACTTGTTATTGTCCTGTATTTAATGGAATACTGCTCACGGGATGTCAAGCAAACATTCAAATTATAATTTTAAATACCTTTTGATGCCTGTCCTAAGGGTGTTTCAGATAACTGGCCACCTGTCATGCCAACAACTTCATGTGGCTGGAAAAACCCATTCACCATCAATTTGAAGTAGAAAGATTTTGTTTTTCCCGTGAAGCTGCTCTGTGTTGCAGTCAGCCATCTGACAAGAACATATATTTGATGCCCTTCCGAGAGCGGAACATAGCCTTCCGGTATCGTTTCTGTATCCATTATCTGCACTAAAAATTATAAGAATTAGTTCTTCAAATTGTACTACATTTAAAATATTAAATACTACCAGTACATTAAGTTAAAAGATATATTTTGATTGCATATTTCAGTTATGGTCAGCTGCATTTTTATAGCCCAGTGAATAAATGATTAATATGTCTTTAACACTGATAATTTAATATGCACAAACTTCCGATTCAATTTGGATTAGAACTGACTTTTATAACTTTTTTTGTGGGTTCCAATGGAACATGAATCGATACAAAACTTTTTTTCCCTAGATTCTCTTTTTCTCTAATGCACATGATACTGCCCTGAACGAATCCAATCCATTATTGTTTTTTTTAAGTACTCCGAAGTGTGGTGGTATCATTACACCCTTACCGTGAAGGTTATATATAAGGTGGTTGTAAATGAATGACTTGTGTAACATTATCCAGTTTATATTCATGTGAATATATACTTTTACTTCAGTTCATAAATATATCATTTAATATTAGCATACAGTACTAGTTTATAAATACATCATTCAACATTAGCAAACAGTACTTATAACATGGAGGGTTTTTTTTAAATAATTTTGTATTAATTGTAAAAAAGAAGATGTAAATGACTGCCTATGCAATGAGACACCTGTTCACAAGAGACAATTTGACACAGAAATTAACATTTATAGATCACCCTACGGCTTTCAACAATGAGCAAAGCCCATACCGCATAATCAGCTATACAAGTTTTGCATCATATATTTGTAATACAAAATTTTACAAATAAATTCAATTTCACATCAGAAGTATTAATTTTCACATATTTATTATATATGACTTGAAAACAAAACAAATATGAATAGCTAATTGATAGTCCCCCCCCCCCCCTTAAAAAAAGTAAATTTGAAACTTTTTTCCTTACATAGTCACACTTGTTAATGCGAATTCCTCTCCTCGGAACATAATGTCCCTCATTACTGTTGAGAGCCATTTTAGCGAGATCAGCTGGGCCTGGTTGCTGAATCATGTTATTTTCTTTACTTTTTTCTGTAATAAATACATGAGAATGTATAATACTAGTAAAAGCTTAATAATATTCAAATAAAGGTTTTTCAGAACAATTTTAAACTAATAGACTGAAACAATTTTAATTAATATCTACAAACATATATATAAATCTGAAAACCTAAGTTTTTCATCAACCAAAAAATAAATATATAATAGAAATAATTGTATACAGTTCCTAGATAATGGGGAAAAATAAGGTCAGTTGGGTAACTACATGTACATGTTGTTTTTTTTGTCAATCATAATTATATATATAAGATGTTAAAATGAGTGACAATTGCATATTTGTGGGTAACTTGTTTGAATTATTAGCACTATATTGACTATTTAGATAACAATTTTCAGACTCGTTATAAAATCTTTTTTGTTATGATAACAGAGAAAAAAATAAAAAGGAAAATCATAATGAACATCATCATGCAAGAAAAAAAATCTTCCTTTTACTATAGGTAAGACACCACAAAAATCAATAAACATGTACCTAGCTCAGATTTGAGTTTTGAAGTCTCATTTTTCCAATATTGTGCATCTCTCTCCAACTGTGAGCAAAACTCTTTAAGACTAGTATATTGAGCGTCTTTCAGAATACACTCTCCACATTCGGTGGCCATTGCCCTTAAAAGGCTAGCACTGTTGGGTGTTGAGCTTGAAGGCCTAGGTATACTGGTGCAAGGTCTGCCCAAGGGTGAGGATATATCTAGGTTAAAAACAGTGCTTGAATCTGAACACATGCGGTTAAATGTATTAACAGGAGAAATTATATTTGGTGCCTGTGGAGGAATAGTTTCTAACATGCTTGAGTTAACTGCACTTGAGTATGTAGTGGAAGGAAAAGGGCTGCACATACTTGACATAGGATTGACATGGGAAACTGACATGTTATATAAAGATGAGGAATTTGACACATTAAATGGTACCCGTGAATTCATGCTGACTGTCATATTACTGTTAATGTGACTTGGATTACATACTGTGTAAGGCACAGGTGTGCATGGTGGTGGAACTACCGGACAAGAGAACATTGAGGTTTGATTAATAGGAGACATGGGCATGCTACTCACATTGCTGCGTGCTGGTGGAATGGGACTAACAGAGGGCATGGTCATGCTACCCACAGTGCTGCATGCTGTTGGAACAACAGAGGACATGGGCATGCTACCCACAGTGCTGCATGCTGGTGGAACAACAGAGGACATGGGCATGCTACCCACAGTGCAGCATGCTGGTGGAACAACAGAGGACATGGGCATGCTACTGAAGGTATGATTAGTCACCACTCTTTCAGATAAATCCTGTACAGCAACATTAGTCACATCTACCAAAGTTTGATTACTTAAAGCAGTAAGAGCTTCTGAAACTTTAATAGATGTGATAAATTGAGGCAAAATTTGACATGATGAATCTGAAAAAGTGGTTGATGCTTTGGTGTTCTTATTTACTATATTAGTTGTACATGTACCTACATTTGTAACATCATGCACCATGCTTTCCTTAAACAGCTCCTCTGCATTCATAATGGCTGTCTCTCTTTGACTTTTTTCAGCAGCTTTTTTTATTTCATTTTGCTCTGTAAAAAAAGTGTTCTTTTTTTTTTATTCAGCTAATTAAACCAATTAAACGAATCATATACAAAAAGAATTAAATTTTGACAGGCACATTTACTTAAAACTAAAACAGTACATTAATATATATCACAGCTATATATATGTTAATAAACAGATTAAAATAAAGAAACAACATTTTGAACTTGGCTTTTAATAAATAATATTGGGATTAAAACTTCCAACCTTTAATTATATTGCATCAATCATTGCATAAATGATTATTTCTTTAATAGTTTGTCTTTTTATAAATAAAATGAAATAATTGTGTCCATGGACCAATCTTAGCAAAACATACTAATATTATTTGCTATAGGATATTTTACTTCTTGTCCGTATCGAGTTTCTTTAATTATTTTCCATGTATCGCTTATTATTTCTATAAACCATATACTTTTTTTATAAATTAAATAGCCTGTAAATAAAATATACTTTATTGACAAACAAGAATCACTCATTCTTTTATTCTTTTTATAAAATGGCAAGAATGTCGCGAATGTTGAGTAAACATAAAAATAGTATATATATACATTTCTCTAATTCTTCGTCAATTTATCCCTTTCTGCACCCATTGTATAAAAATAAATAAATCAACGTGTGGTTCGTTTTGTCTCAGTTCTTAAGATTAAAATCTGACTATTAGGTCAAATTTTCTTGCTTTCTTCTTCATAATAAAAGAAGAAATAAGTTTTCCTGCATATTGTTTAAAAATCATTAGAGAAACCTATTTCACCACCAAATTTTGTGTAATACGATAATTATATATCCACTCTTGACAGTTGAATTTTAAATAATTAAAACGCTCGGCGAGCCTTGCGTTTTAAATTTGAAAGTTTGACTGTCTCGAGTGGATAAATATCGTATCACACTCGATGATGTGGTAGAATCAAATAAATATAGTTTTGAGCTGCACTATATCAAGCAGATAAATATCGTATCACACTCGATGATGTGATAGAATCAAATAAATATAGTTTTGAGCTGCACTATATCAAGCAGATAAATAACAGAGCATCATACACAATTACCCTTTTCTTCTTTGCCAAGCTCTTGTTTATATTGTTGGCATCATTCTCAGATTTTCTTTTTGGTATGTTTTTTTTCTTTGTCTCAGTTTTTTCTTCTTTTCAAGAAGGAACTTCTGGCAGTTTTCCTTGACATCTACATATATAAAAAGTAATGCAAAAATAACTATATATATAAGTGATAAAACTGCGCTCTTGACACAAACAGTATAGTTATTTTTTCACATTTAAGACTGGAATAAAATGGCTTAAGGTTGCATGGTCAGGTATGAACAATAAACCTGGTAAACAGACATACGTGTATATTATTTTTTTGGTATAATCAATAGTTTGCAGTTCTTGTTTTTGTTTGAACTTTAAGACTTTCCCTGTCTATATTGTCTCAAATATAATGCACTGAAAATTTTGACTGAAACTACAAAAAAAAACACACCCCAAAACCAACTTATCACATAATCATGATAATTTAATTATAAACTAATGATGATTAAGAAAAGTAAGATCCATATAATTATATGTTTTGTTAAATCCTCTGGTAATTTTAAAGTCTTTTAATGAATTCTAAATATATATTATTGGATATATTTAAACTAGGAATTTGTTTACAAAAAGGCCATTTATAGCTGCTTTTCATAATTGCTAACTTTTTATATAATATTACCATGGTGACTTGGATACATGTACATTTTCATCTTCTCATTTATATTAATTGTCTATTTAAAAATACTAAAAACCTACCAGCTTCAAAGATAATCTTTCTTTTGTACGTGTTTCCATCTGTCCACATAGCCGTACATGTATCATTTAGATGAAAATATTTTTCGTTCCCTGTCCTTCCTTCATCATCTTCTAGGTCATTACCTGATACAGGGTCGCTCAGTTCACCATCGTCAAAAAATTCAACAATGTATCAGTCTGAAAAAAATATTCTTCAATGTTTATATGCAATTGAATTGTTAATTGAAACGTGCTTTTCAGAATTTCCTGCATAGAGAGTTTATATTTTCAAATTATGTATATTATCATGATTATAATTAATATATATAAATATATATATGATTTGATGAAAAATTTAAAAGGTAAAAATTTATAAAGAAAAATTGTCAAAACCACGTACACTGTTTAATTAGTGCATGTGCTTTTTTTTTTAGACCAGAAACTAGTTTGATAAATTTTAATAAAACAAAATCTGCCGTAGAAAGTACATGTACATGTTTGTAATTGTTCCAGACCATGAGTATTTGGACAGAACACGTATATAGTTAACCCATTCATGTGTAAACTTGTACAGTCTGACAATAGTAGTACAAGCAGGCAGCGTTTAAGTAAATATATATATATATATACAGAACAGTAATTAGTACACTTACGATACAAAGGAGACAAGGATATTTGAGATGTTTGTGTTATATACTGATTTGGACTATTAATTATACTAACAGGACTGGAAACCGTTACACCAATCAGTGTAATAATACTCAACATCATGGTCATAACAGGATAGCTAGATTGACATATTTAAGTGTCATTTTTTAAAGTGAAAAGTGGAATACAATTCTCATTACAATCGGAAACCACATGCAGAGCTCCAACAAATTAAACTCGCTTTCCCTATAAAATTGCATATTCCTTTTTTTTTGCGATCAGGTGGCATTAATTTAAATTAGCATTATATATATATAATTATATAATAATATAGTCTCCAGATAGACGGTACTAGTATGGGCACAAAAATGGCCCCGTCATATGCCAACATATTTATGGGCCAACTTGAAAAACGCCTCTTTTCTAGTGCTCCATACCAGCCCTTATCATGGTTTCGATTCATTGACGATATTGATTTCAAATGGACAGATTCACAAGAACATCTTAACGAATTTCTAGGACACTGTAACTCTTTCTACCATTCAATAAAATTAACATATGAATCATCTATGGAGAAAATAAACTTCCTCGACACTACGAGTTACATCAAGAACGGAACCATTATAACGGACCTTCATACCAAACAAACGGACAAACATCAATTCCTTTCTCCTAAAAGTTGCCATCCTAAACACTGCTCCCGTGGCATCCCATTCAGCCAGGCATTGCGAATCAAGAGAATATGCTCTACTGAAAAAACGTAAAATGCTAGACTTGGACAACTACGTAAACATCTAGTTGTTCGAGGATACAATAACAACATCATTGATAGCGCTTTCGAAAGAGCATACAAAACTAGTCGCCAAGAACTTCTAGAGTACAAAGATAAAAATAAAGCAGCTAACAGAACACCCCTTGTACTCACTTACCATCCTGATTTTAAAAAATGTGTCTTCCATTGTTCAGAAGCATTGGAAAATTATAGAAAATGATTCAAATCTTAAAAAAGTATTTTCCTCACCACCAGTCATGGCCTTCAGAAGACCTAAAAACATCCGTGACAAATTAGTGACATCTGTATTATCAAAGCAGCCTACTCCATCTCCCGGTTGCTACAAACAATGTGGTCGAATGAACTGCTTGTGTTGTAAAGCTGCCAATACAAGCAGTTCTTTCATCAGCTCCGTTACTAAACAAAATTATACCATCTACTCAAATTCCAACTGTAAAACGGAGAACTCAATTTATATATTAACATGTGACACATGTGGCATTCAGTATGTGGGAGAAACAATGGACAAATTTAATATTCGGCTCAATAACCATCGTTCATGGTACAAAACCAACAAAAACTGTCCTCTCACAAGACATCTTCGTTCAACGAAACATTCTTTTGATAATGTTACCTTCCAAATCATAGAAGTCAACACCGAGTGGGACACCACGGCGAGAAGGAGAAGAGAAAATTTTTGGATCCACCAACTCCACACTTTAGAACCTGATGGTCTTAACGAAAAAGATGAGAAAAGATACAGGAAAGATAAAGAATAATTTAATACACAGCATCGTCCTTTTTATCCTGTAATATTGGCCAATGGACGTTGCTAACTTCAACTATCAATTTTGTAAAAATCTTGAACTTCATCCAAATAATGTATTATTTTCAAGGCAGCTTAATTCAAGTGCAACATATACATTGAGCTGCAAAAGTTTCTTATCATCTACATCCGATTTCACCTGGATAGATGCACGCTTGATAAAGCTAGTTAGTCTAGCGAAATATTGCGTTTATTTTCATCATTTTGTAAATATTTTAAACATTCTTATATTTACATACTAAATAGTGTGTTAAAATTACATTGTTAGGCAATCTATAATTATATAATATATATGACTTTGTGAACATATGTACAATAGGTTCCACAACAATCAAGTAAAACTGCTCACTGATGATACCCCCGCTGAAATATTCCGGAAACAGGAGGTTGTTGAGTGATGAATCTGAAAACGCATCACATTACAGTATATCATATATATCTGACTTTTATAAACCCTGAAACCATGCAAATTTCAGAAATCCTTGTACATTAATTGTCCGAAGGCCCGACCGTTTACAGCTGTTTCTTTTATATTTTATTTTGCTACGTACCATAATTCTATATATAGAAATTGATTGAGGTTTACATATATGAATGATAAAAACACTATAAAGAGCTGCATGAAAACAATATTGATTTAATGTATATATAGACAGGTTTTTCCGATTATCTGCCTTAGTTTGTGACGCGACTCCTAGGTGTCATCGTAGTAGCGTTGCCATTACAACCGTGAAAAAATATAAACTATAGATATACTTCTATTTCCCAGACCGCATATAATTAACGTAAACACAAAAATGTGAAGACGTACTTGACCTGGGCAAAATTATTAATGCTTTAAATAATAAAGTAATTAGATAAGGAATGGACATTAAAATTATAAGTGTATTGAAGGCCAGGTATTGTGTCCTTAAAATATAACTGTATTTGCATGATACGTTACACCCAGGACATAACATATACGAATACTAATCCCAGG